GAGGAAGAGGAGTAGGAGGAGGAGGAGAAGGAGGAGGGAGGGGAGGAGGAGGAGGAGGAGGAGGAGGAGGAGGAGGAGGAGGAGGAGGAGGAGGAGGAGCGGAGGAGGAGGAGGAGGAGGAGGAGGGGGAGGAGAAGGGGGACGAAGAGGAGGAGGAGGAGGAGAAGCGGAGGCGCGAAGAGCAGGCGCTGGAAGAGGTGGCGAGGCCAAGGGCCTTGGGCGTCGCTGAACCCGTTGCCGCGAGAATAATCCAGCAGAGATAAGAAAGTTCGGTGTCCAGGAGAGATAATATTTTCCCGGAGATATCGATGTTAGGATGTCTGGATCGGTCTTCAAAAGCCTCCTAGATGGAGCCTCCATGATCCATCTTGAGGGCCTGCCTTGAGATGTGGGAAGAGCAGAAGAACACAACTCCTACGAAATACGATGGCGGAATGGTACACTGGTTTCACTCCGGGCGCCTCCTTGGAAGATTACTCATAGTGCTATGCATAATCTGGAGAGCGTGATGATAAAGTTCCGCCTCCCCGCCTGTTGTAGATAATGATACACAAGGAGACCAAGAGAAAACAATATATAAGTAAGACTCAGGGGGGGACTCTCTCTTATCGTCGGGCTGCGGTTAGTGGGGGGGCGATAGATGGGGGGGAAGACAGGTGCACGACTCGGACCCTGAAGGTCCCCTTTTGGCTCCGCAAGGGCCCCTCTTAAGGGCCCTAACGGGCACCATTTCTGCAGCCCTCGCTGCCTCCCCATTTATCGCCGCCCCGTTACGAATGTGAGCGGCCGTCGCGGGGCCGCCGGCTGTTGCTCTGGTGTTCCGGCCGCTGGGTGTGGCGGCGTCACCACGGTTGGACTCGGCTCGGCAAGCTGGGGCTCTGCCCTCGGGCCCAGTCGGGCCGGCGGGTAGAACCGCGGCCTGGGCGTCGCTTCCATGGGGGGGGGGGACAGACTACTGGGAGGAAGGAGGGTGCACTCCTCGGGCCTGAAAGGCCCCATCTGGGACCCTAAAGGGCCCCTCTGCTGCAGCCCTCGCTGCATCCAGTTTGTTGCACCCCCCCCCATCACGCGACGCCCAAGCGGTGCCTCTGGTTGGCACGCCGGCCCGCGGCTGGGCCTAGTAGACCCGGCCGTGCTCTCTCCTGGCCCCGCGGAGCGGGAGCCCCGCCCTGTGAATGCGCAGCCAGATATCGGATCGGACTTTCATGCCGTCAGCCTTCAACCACCACGTCCTCCTCCTCCTCCTCCTTCTCCTCCTCCTTTTCAATATTCTCTTTCCTCCTCCTCCTCCTCCTCCTCCTCCTCCTTGTCATCTTCCCTTTCCTCCTCCTCCTCATGCTTTTCATCATATTCCTCCTCCTCCTCCTGAACCTTATCGCTCATCACCGCGGGCCTTCCCGATTTTGTCCTGGAACGTGCTTCGTCAATGGGGGGCCCCAAGTTCACAGCTTCGGATGCAACGGACATATCTCGCGAATCTGATTGACCTGTCACCACATAGCGCCAAAGTCGGCCCCGACACCTTTTCGGAGTCGCCCCCAGCAAGGTGGCCCTGAAAGCCAAAAACATTTGTTCAGCGAAGGTGCCACATGCGTTTTGCATCTCCACCTTCTTGCTTCTCTGTAGTTAGGCAGGTAGCGGTTCAAGACTACACGCCCAGGGCCCAGCACTGCACAAATCGGCCCCTGCTCCCACAACCTACCGCAACCCCGCCCACCCAACAAGGGCTCCGAGATGCTCCGCTACCACGTCGCCATACTAACTCAACCTAGCCAACCATAGAGGGCGGCGACAGGGGACGCGGCCCTTGAGATCCGATTGCGCAGCTGCTTCTCCGAAGGGCGGCTCCTTCTCAGAGTGAAGCTCTCGCCAGCTGTTCTGTTTGCTGTGTGGCCAGCCGCGGAAAGTGCGCAGCAGAGGCAGGGTGGCCCCTCTTCCAGGCGGGCCTGTCGCCGGGCACCTCCTCGAACTGCAGTGCCGCACCTCGCCGCACTCCTCGAGCTCCCCAGGACGGACGGCGGTTCCCCTCAAGACGGAGCGGCCGTCCCAGCTGCGGGCCCCCCTATGGGGCGCTCTCCTGTCCACGAGGGCAGCCTCGCGCAGGGGAGGACGACTTCCCGCAGGCACGAGTGCGGGGGGGAGGGGACGCCGAACGCGAGGGGGCAGTCCAACACTGCTGCTACATCTCGGGTTGCTCTCGCCGCCTCCTCCCTCTCTGTGCAACCCTCCCTTTAGCCTCCACAGGGGGGTGCACTTCGCGTCGTGAAGCGCAGTCGTCGTAGGTACTGATGAGGGGGGGGGGTCTCGGGACGGGAGGGTGTATTCAAGCAGCGCTGATACATGTTGGGCTTCTCTGGTAATCCTCCTCCTCTTAAATGAAACATCCATCTTACCCTCCTCCCCACCCTCCCCTGATCTCCGACGTCATGCTTGTTTACATGACGTGGACCCACGAGAACTCCAGACCCTCCCCCTGGGGGCCGCTTTCCCTGCAGAGCCGTTCTCTATGTCCACGGCCCGAAGAACCTCCCGCCGTGATTCGTTGTCGGCGACGAGAAGAGGGCCTGGGCGCATCCCCCCTCCCAGGCCGCAGCAGGGCAACCCCATCTGCCTGAGGGCCGCCCCCGCCGTTCATCCGCCCGCTGCGTCATGTTGCATCTTTGGAGGCCCTTCGAATGTCCCATCGCGAACCCACGTCGGACGCGCCGACGAAGAGAAGTCTGGAGAATGCCTGATGCTAGAATCCTCTGCGTGGGCCTCATGTGAGCACGGCGGGTCCCGCCGAGTCGAATACGCCTCGAATCCACGTCGGACCTGCGTCGAATCCACGACACATCCGCGTCGAGCCCGCATCGAGCCCGCGCCGGGCCTCAGAGAAGACTGCCAACCTTGGGGACAGGCGAGGGCCCCCTGAAGATGCAACACAGGGAGGGCACTCCGGGCAAGCCGACCGCGCCCGCGCAGAGGGGGGCCCCGCGCTCCCGCGTCGCGCCGGGTGGAGGCGCGCCCTGCGGAGCCAGCGGTGGGTTTCGCGGCTCGCGCGGCCGTCGCCGTCGTCGGCAGTCGTCGCCTCGGCCGCAGTCGTCGTCGGCGGCGGCGCCGCCGCCGTCCTGGGTCGGGGGGGGGGGCGGTGCGAGGCCGGGGTCCGGCGCGAGAGCTGTTGGCGAGAACGCGCCCCAGGGGAGGTCGGGCGGTCGTCGGCGCTAGCAGCGGGGGGAGGACGGGTGTGGGGGAGAGCGGAGTGGAACCCGCTGCGGAACGCAAGTTCAGGGGGAGGATGAGGAAGAGGAGGGAGACAGAGAGGAGGGACGGGAGGGATACAACGTGAAGCTGCAAGGAAGAGGGAGGAGAAGGAGGAGGAGGAGGAGGAGGAGCGTTGGAGAGAATGTAAGGGGGAGCTGAGAGAAAAGGGATGGGAGCGGGGGGGGAGGCGGAGGAAGCGAAAGAGGGAGAGGGGGAGAGACATTGAGAAAGAGAGAGAGAGAGAGAGAGAGATAGAGATAGAGAAAGCTAACAAAATGAGAGAGAGAGAGAGCGGGATGAGCAGGAGGCAGCGGACGAGGAAGGGAGCACGAGGGAGAATTGAGAAGGGAGGAGGGGGGGACGAAGAAAGAGGGAAGCGAGGATGAAGAGAGTGGACGGAAGAGGACAGAAGACGAGGATGAAGGACGATCACGTTGAGCCCCGAGGACCTCTTTGCGAGGTATGTCTTCTTGGGGATTCCCTTGGCCTCCCTCGACTACGTGTATGGGTGACGCGAAGGACGCAGCGACCTCACGGGGCAACTCGCGCAGGCCAGTCACCCGACACCCCGCGCAAAGAAGCAGGGCGCTCACGCGCGACGCTACGCGGGCAACCGACGTGAGAACGTAAGAATGTCCGCGCACTCGACCACGTTTCCGCGACGTCGCCCCACACAGGGGAGGCGAGGGCAAATCCGGTCAAAATCAGCCCCCGGACCCCTCCACAGGTCGAAACTCACAAGCCTTTCGAGCCGCGCCATCTGTGGCGACAAAGGGGGCCTCCTTCTCCCCCCTCCTGCTGGCCCGAACCAGTGCTGGGCCACCGCAGCCAGCGGGCCAGCAAGACGCTGTTGAAAAGCGCGCACTTGCACTGAAAATCTGTAGACAAGGCGAGGCTGGAGAACACTGGGCGATGGGTGGAGCGAGGGACCGAAGAAGGGACCAACCCGGACGGGAGGACAGCTGCGCTGATAACCTCGACACCTCCCCGCGAACAACCCATCCTAGCCAAGACGGCAGCGCTAGGACGGTTGCAGGCACAGCGGTGACAGCCCCCCATCGGGCCCCAACACCCATGTGGGCCTATGTTGCCCCCATCTTACTCAAGGACCACATGGCAGAAAGAATTTCCAGCACCCCGAAGAGTATCGAAACAGCGTCGAACGGGTATCGCCTCCCCAGGCCTGACACGCGAAAACCCTCCAGTCTGGGCACTCTCTTGGTGCTCGAAACTGTTTACAAGGGGAAAGAAGGTTAGAACAGTACAACGCCATGCCATACCGCCTGTCGGCCCCTTTGCTGGTCTCCTCGCGCGCGCTGGGCCCACCCCCTGACGCGATCCAACCTTCGCACGCCATACCGAAAGAGCCATGAGCGCAGGTTGGAACATCACAAATGCGGGCACCTCTTTTGATGTCGCGCCGCCGCGCCGGGCGGCGGGTGGCGACCTCCGCGGGCGCGCAGAACTTTGCTCACGACGGCGCCACCGCCGTGCACTCCCCTGCGCCGAGGGCGCCGGCCCTGGCGCCCGGGGGGCCACCTCGGGCCGCGGCGCCTCCCGAGGGCACGCTGTACTTCAGCACGGCGCAGCCACCGCCGCGATTCCCGGCGCCGAGGGCGCCAACTGTGGCGCAGGGCCGCGACCGACGCCTCCCGCGGGCGCGCAGCACGTCCGCGAGCACGAAGGCGACACCGCCGCGGTCCTCAGCGCCGAAGACAACGGGGCGACTCCCCTGCGGGCTTGCCTAGGAGTGCCCATCAGTCGCCCTCGCTCTCGTACAGCAGGGGCGGGACGGCGACCCAGCCATGCTCGGGCTGCCCGCTGCCCGCCTGCGCCTGGCGCTGCGCGAAGACGTAGTGCTCGTAAAAGTTGACCCCCGACTCCCCCTGCCCTTGCTCAAACGTGCCTTCGCAGACGTAGACGACATCCCCCTCGCGCACGGACATGTAGCCCGCGCCTTCGTTGGTCTCCAGCGCCCTGTCGTAGGGGCTCCGGACCACGAAGAGGCCACCCCCATTCAGCTCCTCCGTGGAGACGGCATAACGCGGGGCCGCCGCGCTGCCTCCTGGAAGAAGAAAACACTGCGTGAACATCCACGTTGGGAGGTTCGTGCGGATCTCTTGAATCCGCGCTGGCCCCCCCTCCCTGGCGCGCGGAACGCGCCAACGGCGGCGCCGGAGCGGCGCCGGAGGCGCCACCGCGGAGGCCCAGCGCAGATCCGAGAGAACTCCGCGCAGAACTCCGAGAGTTTTCCGGTCTGTGCCGCTTCTATTCTTCGACCTCCGCTGCAGGGGCCCGCCGCGGCCGCCCCCTCCCCGCCCGCGGCCGCGGCCCTCTCGGGCGCGGCGGCAGCGGGCGGCGCGGCGGCGGCGTCTGGCGGCGCCGGCCGCTGCTGTCCCGCCCACGCGCCGGCCTCTCCAGCGGCGAGCGCGGCCGCGTGGGCCGCCTCCGCCGGCGGCGGCGCGGAGGCGTGGGCCGCGGGCGCCGGCGGCGCGGGGGCGTGGGCTGCCGGCCGAGGCACGGCGTGCGCCGCCGCCGGCGCGGCCGCGTGCGCCCCGGGGTGTGCCGGTGCCTGGGCGCCGCCCGACTGCGACCAGGGGTCCCTGCGAGGAGGGCGCCAACCGGGCGGCAGAAGGAAAGGGGTCCCCCGCGCGACGGCACGGCGGCCTCGCGAGGCAGCTGACGGGGCAGCCCGCGCAGGGCAGTCACGCGGCACTCCGCGCGGAGAAGAGGGCGCTCACGCGCGACCTTACGCGGGCAGCTTACGCGCCAGTGTCCCCGCAGGTGACCCCGTCTCCCTTGGTCGCTCAACTATCCGACAAGCCACAACTGAGGGAGCTGTATTCGTGGGCCCCCAATGAGGGAACCCGTCGCGTCGAGGACCCCTCGACCAGTTGCAGGGAACACGGCCTCCCCAGTTGTGGCCCCTTGACTTCTAGCACCTCGAGCTGCTGAGCAACACGGGTATGGGGAGGTGGTTCGCGTTGTGGGTGTACCAAGGGCTCTTTCCTGGCATAGCGTGCGAAGGTTGGACCGCGTCGGGGACGGGCCCGGCGCGAGCGAGGAGACCGGAAGAGGGGCCGACAGGAGGTATGGCATAGAGGAGTGCTCATTGAGCAACTCGGAGTGCCTCCGCGCCGACCCTGGCTGGGCCCGCCCTGGGCCCCAGATCGGTGCCTCCGCCCCCTCAAACACGGCCAGGAGGGCGCGCACCCAGACCCTCGACGCAGCTCCCAGCCATCTTTTAGTGTTGGGTCCTCGTTTTGAATACACAGAGCCCCGCGTCTGTCCGCACCCCCTCCTCCTCCTCCTCCTGCTCCTCCTCCTCCTCCTCTCCTCCTCCCCTCCTCCTCCGCATCATCATCATCAGCATCATCAGCATCATCATCATCATCATCAGCATCAGCATCAGCATCAGCATCAGCATCAGCATCAGCATCAGCATCAGCATCAGCATCATCATCAGCATCATCATCATCATCAGCAGCAGCATCATCATCATCATCATCATCAGCAGCAGCAGCAGCAGCATCATCATCATCATCATCATCATCAGCAATAGCATCATCATCATCAGCCGCATCAACATCATCATCAGCATCAGCATCCTCATCATCATCATCATCATCATCGCCATCGTCATCGTCATCATCATCATCATCATCATCAGCATCATCGCCATCGTCAGCATCATAATCAATATCACATTCATCCGAACCACCATCACCATCACCACCACCATCACCAGCACCATCACCACCACCACCATCATCCTCATCCCCATCCTCATCCTCATCCTCATATTCACCATAATCAACATGATCATCATCCTTATCCTCATCCTCATCCTTACCATCCTCATCCTCATCCTCACCATCCTCATCCTCATCCTCACTCCTCACCATCACCAGGATCACCATGATCACCATCACCATGATCACCATCACCACCACCACCATCATCACCAACATCCGCATCCGCATCCGCATCCGCATCCGCATCAGCATCATCATCATCATCATCATCATCATCATCATCATCATCATCATCATCATCATCATACTCACCATCATCGTCAACATTTCGTGGACCCCACAAGAAGCTCCATCGAAAACTCCAACAGCAAGGTGCGCGTGGCGTCCTCCCGCCCATTTCGCTTCACCCGTCACACGTTTCGTGGCCTTCTCGGGAGCTCCACCGAATTTCGGCGCATCCACTAACGCTTCGTAGCGCCATGAGGAGTCCCACCGAAGACCGTCACTAAGGCCCTGGTGGCAGGGCCCGCATGATGCCCCCCTCTCCCCGTCCATGTCGGGCCCACCCCCACGCTGCGTGACCACATGGCGAATTCGACCCGTGCCCCCCCCATCAACGCTGCCTGGGCGTCGTACCTTCAGCCGCGCCACATTGAAAGAGACGGTCACATCGTGCGTTGCTCGAAGCTGCATCGGGCTGGGTAGTTGGGTGGGTACATATATATATATATATATATATATATATACATACATACATATGTACATACATACATACATACATACATACATACACACACATACATACATACCTACCTACCTACCTACATACATACACATACACACATACACACATACATACATACCTACCTACCTACGTACATACATACATGCATGCATGCATGCAAGCATGCATGCATGCATACATACATACTAGAACCACGCGCGCGCTTCGCGCGCGCTTAGGTTCTAGCCGTGGCCAACGAACTCGACGACGACGACGACGACGAAGGACGCCGACGACGACGACGACGACGACGACGACGACGACGAAGGGCGTCGACAAGGCAACCGCGACGGTGAAGCGCCCGCCAAGGCTTCGCAAATCCGAGAGGGCTGTAGGGTGGCGTGCTGTTCGCGTGCGAACGACAGAAATCATACAACGTGGCATCATTGGGCCTTCTTGGCGGCCCACTTGGGGCTTGTTGGGACTCGTTTGGGGCCCTCGAAGGCAGTCCTGCTCCTGGGCGGTATTTGGAGGCTGGGGCCGTTTTGGGGTTCTTTGAAACCGTCTTGGGGGGCTTTTGTGGCTCTGGGGGGCCACATGGGCTCTTCTGAGGTTGTTGTTTTTGGGCCGTCATCGGGCTGTCGTGGTGTTCTGGGGACCGATTCGGGGCCGGTATCGGGGAGCCCTTGGGGGGCCTCTTGGAGCCTTTGGGGGCTTCTTGGTGCATCCTTGGAGCCTCGTGGGGTAGAATACCGGAATGTTCGGCTCGTTGTCTCCCTCTTTGGCATCTCTTGGGGCCGTTTTGGGGCTCTCTTGGGCTCTTTTGCTGCTTTTGTCCTCCTCCTCGTTTTCCCCCTCCTCCTCCTCCTCCTCCTCCTCCTCCTTCTCGTCCTCCTCCTCCTCCCCCTCCAATTCCTTCTTCTTTTTTTTCATCATCTTTTCACCCTCATCCCCCCGCCGCTTCTGCTCTAGTTCTCTCTCCAACTGCCCCTCCTCCTTCTCCTCCTGCTCCTCCTCCTTCTCATCCTGCTCCTCCTGCTTCTGCTCTAGCTCTCTCTCCTCCTGCTATCTCCTCCTGCTTCTCCTCCTGCTCCTCCTGCTTCTCCTCCTAGCTCCCTCCTTCTCCTCCTGCTCCTTTTCCTCCTCCTCCTCCTCCTCCTCCTCCTCCTCCTCTTCCTCCTCCTCCTCCTTCTCCTCCTCCTCCTCCTCCTCCTCCTCCTCCCCCTCCTTTCGTTGGAAACATCCTGTCGCCCCCAGCGCGGGGAGGCAGCGTGGACCTGCTCAGTGAAGGAAGTATCCATCCTGGAAAGATATCGGAAGCTCAGAAGCCATGCGAACCAACCTGGGACACTCTCAAACGCTTCTCAGGCCGCCCCAAAACGCTGGGCAGGTTAAAACAGGATCGTCTCGGGGCTCTCTCGGCTCGAAAACGAGCCCGAAGATGGGGCCGAGTGCTCCCAGAGATCTCCGGGGTGTGGTGCCTCTTCCTTTTCCTCCTTTGATCCCTCCCCCCTCTCCTTCTGCGCGCCCTCCTCGTCTCCCGCATATTGCGGCTCGCAACTCGAACGGGTCGTGCCGAATAGGGGCTTCAACCGACGGCCCCCGGCAATGTTCGCATTCGAATTACCTGGAGTCGACGCCCCTGACACGGGTTTGGCTTGGCCCGCAAGAAGATCCACCTAGCTCCAGAGATCAGGTTCGCATAGCATCTTGGATGCCTTTCTCGCCGGCGCATAAGAACCAAATTATGATTTTTTCCGCTTGGACACTCTGGGGGGTGGTCCAGGCTCCAGAGGCCCAGAGCCCGCCGCCGCGAACGCGCCAGACGACGAGCGGCACTGAGCAACGCTTTCAATCTGCCTCCGCATTGGGAGCGCGTCGGCGGAGCACAACAGGCGCAGGACAAACATGACAGCGCCTGGGCATTCGAGGCAAACGGATCATGACGGCTTGGAGGATTCGCCAGGGGCGGGCTGGCCCACAACAGGCTGGCCGACAACGGGCTGGCCGATGGCGACCTGGGGCAGCCGTGCGCTGGCCGACTGGATCTCGGGCAAGCAGCTTTGGCAGCACGAGCGCGCCACGACGCACAATTTGACGGTGGCGCAGACGATCGCGGCGATGCTCAGAGCCGAGTGAACCAGCCTCGCCAGGCGAAAGACTCTAGGATCACCACCTGTATCCACAACTAACGTGACGGCGTGCATGACTACACCTAGTCCAACCATTACGTAGAGCGGCGTGTCCAGGTGCAGGAAGCACTTGCACGGACAACATTGGCCCACTTTCTCGAGTCCCTCGCAGCAACGCGGCGCGCAGATCCGGGACGCAGACGTGACGATGGCGGTCACGAGGATGATATAGCCAGCCGCGCTCCCCAGGATGAGATGGGTCGCGGCCTCTCCATCACCCATCCCTTCATCATCCTGTTCGGCATTCCCCGCGATGAACAGCAAGACGTCGATGATGAAGCGCGGCACAATGAGGCCCAAGTATACCCCCTGCGCCAGTGCGGATGTGGCAAGGCAGACGCAGCACGCCGGGGCGGGATGGCCCATGGCGGCAGGCGCCCGCACAGGCAGCGGCCCTTTGCTCGCCCACCTCCGTGAGCCTTGAGCCAAACTGCTACGGGAACCAAATTATGAGCTTCTCGGGGAGCCTCTTGGGAGGTGCGTCTCGGAATGTTTTGGGGAGCCTCTTGGGGCCTCTGGGGAGCCTATCGGCGCCTCCTGCGTCGGTCCCCGTCGTCGTCCCTGCTCGGTCTCCTCATGCTCCTGCTCCTGCTCCTGCTGCTGCTCCTGCTCCTGCTCCTGCTCCTGTTCCTGCTCCTGCTCCTGCTCCTCCTCCTCCTCCTCCTCCTCCTCCTCCGCGTGCTCTTCGTCGTCCTCCTCCTCCTCCTCCTCCTCCTCCTTCTCCTTCTTCTCCTCCTCCTTCTCCTCCTCCTCGTCCTCCTCCTCCCCTCGCTGGAAACATCCTGTCACCCCCAGCTCGGAGACGCAACGTGGACCTGCTCAGTGAAGGAAATATCCATCTTGGAAAGATATCGGAAGTTCGGACGCCATGTAAGCCGACCTGGGACGTTCTCAGGCGCTTCGCCTGGGGCATTGATGTGGCCCCTCGAGGCCCTCTTGGGTGCAGTCTGGGTCCCCACGGGGACTCCAAGATCGCAGGAAGAGGGGCCCTAGGTCGGTGACGCGGGCGCTCTGTCGCGTGACAACTGTTTGGGCCACCTCGGAACTCTCGTGGGGCGCTCTCGGGGCCCTCTTGGGGCCTTCTTGGGCGGGTCTCGGGCCCCCGAGGTGAGCGAAAGAGAGGCCCAAGGTCGGTCACGCGAAAGCTCTTTCGCGTGACCGATGTTGGCCATTATTGGAGCCCTCGTGGGGGCAAAGTAGGGCCTCCTGGAGACCCTGTTGGGTGTTCTTGGTGACCTCTTGGGGCTCTTTTAGGGCCCCTGGCCCTCTCGAGACCCTCTTAGGGCAATTTCTCGTTTCCACTGGGATTCCAAGATGACAGAAAATGCGGCCCAAGATCGGTCGCGCGAGCGCTCTCTCGCGTGACCGATGATGAAGCCTTCTTGGAACCCTCTTGGGGCGTTCTTAGGGGCCTTCTCGGGGCCATCTTGGGCTTGTCTTGAATCTCGAGGACTGCCGAAAGAGAGCCCATGGCCGGTCACGCGAGCTCTCTATCGCGTGATCTATGTTGGGCACTCGTGGATCTCTCTTGGAGTCTTAATCGGGCCCACATCAAGACCCTCTTGGGGCCATTTCTGTCCCCAACTGGAGCTCAAAGATGGCCGACAGAACAACCAAAGCTCGGTCACGCGGGAGCTCTTTCGCGTGACCGCTCTTGGGATCGCGTTTAAAACCCCCTGCTAAATTGGCCCAGCTCGTTCACGCGAGCGCTCTTTCGCGTGACCGATGTTGGGACGGTCTTGGGGTCCTCTTGAACCCCTTTGGGACTCTCTCGCAGGCCCTGATGGGGCCACCTTTGGCTCGCATCGGGGCTCCAAGATTGCCGAAAAAGGGGTCAGTGAAGGAAGTATCCATCTTGGAAAGATATCGGAAGTTCGGAAGCCACGTAAGCCAACCTGGGACGTTCTCAGGCGCTTCGCCTGGGGCATTGATGTGGCCCTCTCGGGTGCAGTCTGGGTTCCCACTGGGACTCCAAGATGGCAGGAAGAGGGGCCCTAGGTCGGTGACGCGGGCGCTCTGTCGCGTGACAACTGTTCGGGCCACCTCGGAACTCTCTTGGGGCGCTCTCGGGGCCCTCTTGGGGCCTTCTTGGGCGAGTTTTGGGCCCCCGAGGTGAGCGAAAGAGAGGCCCAAGGTCGGTCACGCGAGAGCTCTTTCGCGTAACCGATGTCTTCTGGGAGCCTCCTAGGCCGTCATGGGAACTTCTACGCGATGACAGCCCAACAGGCGAACATACGAAAAATATACGTTTTCCCACAGGAATGAAACGATGTTGGCTCCTTGCGGCTCTTTTTAGACCCTGTTGGGGGTCGCTTGGGGTGTCTTGGAGGCTTCGGAAGCTAATCTTGGAGACCATGTTGGGCGTCTGGCAGCGATTTTCGGACGTCCTGGGTCTGTTTGGGAGTTTCTTGGTGTTTCCTTGGCGCCTTCTCGCAGTCTTCTGTGAAGCTTTCGGGCTCCCCGAGATCCCAGGAGCCCACGTTTGCGAACGTCTTGGACCCTTCGTGAGCCGTACCGACAGCGAAAAAAACAATGTTTTAAAAATGTATGTTTTACAAAGAGAATGAAGCTATTTTGGCCGCTTGAAACTGTATTTGGGGCCCTATTTGGTGTCGCTTGGAATGTCTTGGGGACTTCTGAAAATGTCTTCGAGGCCATGTTAGGCGTCTAAGAACGACCTTCGGGCGTCCGGCGTCTGTTCTGGAGCCTCTTGGACCCTCCTTGACGCCGAAACCCTGTAAAATCACAGGGAAAATGAGCCCCGGAGCCCACATTTGCGGTCGAGGTCCCGGCCCCGGGCCCCCGGACCCGGTGCGCCGTTATATGTATACATACATGCATATATATTATATATATATATATATATAATATTATATATATATTATACACACACACCTACATACATACTATAACGATCGCGCGCGCTTCGCGCGCGCTCAAGTTCTAGCTAGGCTTGATGGGCTTACTCATGGATTATAAGTTGTGTCGTTTCTTCCATCCAGGGGTGTCCCATGGGGGGTCGGTAATTCGGGGGGGGGGGGGACAGGGGCTATATTCCATTCAGTAATGAAGATCTATGTGGTGCATCTACGTGGTGCAATGTGACGGGCGGCGACGAGGCGGCGACGGCGACAACATGGCCGCCAGTCCGACGGTCAGGCCCAGACGACGGGCGGCAACGAGGCGGCGACGGCGACGGCGACAATATAGCCACCCGACCGACGGTCATGCCCAGACAACGGGCGGCGACGAGACGGCGACGGGGACAACAGATCGACCAGAGCGACGGTCAGGCCCTGACGACTGGCGGCGACGAGGCGACGACAGGGCGGCGACGGCGACAACATAGCTGCCAGACAGACGGTCAGGCCCAGACATACGTACAGAAATACCTACCGACCTACCGACCTACCTAGCTAGCTACCTACCCACCTACCTACCTACATGCATGCATAGGTAACTACAAAACTATATACATACACACATACACACATGCACACACACAGATATTATGCGGGGGGGTCATGGAAGTTCCAACGGTAACTTAGGAGGGGTATTTTTATCCTGAGCCGTTCTTGACTGTCCAAGGGCCCAGGGGCGGCTCCAGGGGATCGAACGATGCAACAACAAGCTCCGTCTTCATTCCCCCATGACGTCGACGATCTGGGCCCTTCTCCCTCCTCCCTCAAGACTGGCCCCCCAAACTTTCTCGAGGGTGGCCGCTCACACCAAGAGACACTCGAAGCGGAGCGGCCGCGGCAACGACAATCCTGCAGAGGGGGCCCGACGTTGGAGGCGGCCAGGGGTTGAACTGGATGGGAGCGCCCAGAAAATCGGCCAGGAGGGGGGATGAGGCCAACTCCGCTCAAAATCGGTCCCTTTGGTATGGTTTTCCCTCCCGGATCCGTTTTCACAGTCGCGGGGCCCGAAAACGGCCCCCGGAGGCCGAAAAAGGCAAAAGGACATTCCAGAACCCAGAACCTCGAACCTGCCCGCGTCGCTGATGCATCACTGATGCATCGGCGGTGTATTGACGGTGCATCGGCGACGTCAGCGGTGCGTCGGCGACGCCGGCGATAAAGAAATCGGGCTTCACATCGAGCCGCTTAGCTCTTCGGTTCTGCGGGCCGAAGGACTGTGCGTCGCACCGTGCCCAGGTCGAGGATCGACAACGCCTCCGCAGACGCCAACGCGGCAGTGTACACCCAACTCGTCCGCGGACTCCCCTCGGCGGCGCGTGACGAACACTCACCCCGTCTGGGAGGCCCATGGTGCTTCACCCTGTGACGAATGCTGGCTCTGCCCTGGCGACCTTCGGGGATCCTCTGACCTGGGTCAACCCAGACCCAGGTCAGCCAGGCCCTGCGAGATCCTACAGGACCCTGCACCCAAACCCAGCTCGGTGCACCCCTGGCCCTGCAGGATCCTGCAAGATCCAGCAGCCCTGACGGACCCCCGCTTGCGTGGACCCCCGCCTCTTTTGAGCCCCGAGACCTGCCCTGCGCCCGGGGGTCCGGCGGGCCCGGCGCTCGCGCGGCGGCCGCGGCCTCCCGCGGCGCCTCCATGCAGACGCGCGGCGGGGACGCGCCCGCCGCCAGGCTGGCCTCGGAGGTCGGCCGGCGCACCTGCGGCCGGCGGCGTCGACCGAGGGGCAGCGAGAGGGGCAACAGGCCTCGATGCTCGAACCTCGACCCTCGAGGCTCGAGCCTCGAACTTCGAGACTCGATCCCCGAACCTCGAACCTCGGCCCTCAATCCTCGAACCTCGAGCCTCGAACCTCGAGCTGTGCTCCTTGACCCTCGATCCTCGTTCTTTCATCCTTGAACCACGATCCTCGTTCCTTCATCCTTGCGCCTTGACCCTGGACCCTTCATCCTCGAGCCTCGACCCTCGAGCCTCGAACCTCGAGCCTCGAGCCTCGAGCCTCGACCCTCGACCCTCGAACCTCGACTCTCGAAACTCATCCTCGAACCTCCATCCTCGAGCCTCGAGCAACGACCCTCAAGCCTCGGCAACTTGGCTTTCAGGGGGGGGGGGACGTCATGCTCGAATCGGCGACGCCTCGCCGATGGATTGGCGGTCGGACCCTTATCCTCAGCGAAACCGCACGCTCCTGGGCAAGGCGGGCTACCAGGCCACTGTCGGGGATGAGTGGGCGATTGGGGGTCACCTCCCCTGAGCCTGTCCCCCCTGAGCCTGTCCTCCCTGAGCCTATCCCCCCTGAGCCTATCCCCCCTGAGCCTATCCCTCCTAACATCCTGAGCCTATCCTCCCTGAGCCTATCCCTCCTGAACCTATCCCCCCTATGAGTAGGGGTATCATCCCCTCTGAGCCTATCCCCCCTAACGTTGCCCGTCATCGTCGTCGTGCGGGGATGCTGTTGTCGGGCGCCGTGTGCCTTACCGAACCTCCCCTCGGCAGGGACGAGTTGCGGCGGGAGGTTATGACAACCTGCGGTCACTCGGGGCCCTCGAGACCATCAACAAACGCCTCGGCACGCAAGACGGGAAAGGGTTCCAGACATAAGTCGGGCATGTCCTTCTACAGGATGCATGTTAAAAAATAATCCGAAAATAGTCTGGAGACGATGTTTTGTTTTACCACTTTTGATGATGTTTGATGATTTGTTTGAATTTTCGCCCAGAATCCGCCTGTAGGGGGACATGCCCGACCTAAGTCCAGACCTCCGGGGAAGAACGCACGGCGTCAGAGATCTGGGCCCGTGGGAGTCCACGACGCTTCTGGCCGCCACGGTCGGAGTCTCCTCTAAACTCTGGCCAGGGCTTGGGCGTCGCTCCACGACGGGGGGGGGCGACGAAGGCGGGGAGGCGGGGGGGGGGGGGGAGAAGGGGTGCCCTTCTCGGGCTCTAAAGGCCTCCTTTGGGCCCCAAAGGGCCGGGGCTCGAAGGGGGTCCTCTTCTGCAGCTTGCTGCCCCTCCATGTACCGCCCTCCCATGACGCGGCGCCTAAAGGGCGCACCGGTGGACTTTGGAGGGCGGAGGGGTTGGGGACCCTGGGCCTCCTCGACGACGGCGCCAACGCCTTCGCGTCGGAGGCTCCTGGGCGTCGTGCGGAGAACAGTTCTCGTCGTCACGGCCGCGGGCGGCTCGGCTGCTGGCTTCGAAGCGAGCGGGGAGGGCCGCCTGAAGAGGACGAGGGCTCCTTCTTGAGGGGCCCGGAAGCTCCCTTCAAGACGGCTTCTTAGGAGTCCGCGCGGTTGGGTCTCGAAGATAAAACCACCGATGCCTTCGACACGAGAACGGCGCTTATACCCCGTACTATGTGTTGACTCCCTTCCGGCCTCGCTCCAACGCCATACGTGGCAGAATATTTCGGCTCCGAGAGCCGAAACCACCGCACCAACGCCTCAGGAGACGCCAACGCTGTACGGCACCTCTCTCTATATACATACATATATATATATATATACATATATAAATATACCCGTCGGTCGGAAGAAGTGGGTAGAAACATGACGTAATAAGGCGTTGGAAGTACATATATTGGATTTCCGCCCGCCCCCTGAAGAGGAGGGAAGAAGGACAAGTGCTCGACGCTTGAAGTAGGAAGGCGCCTAAAGTAGATGGGGATCTGGATACCCAAAATACCTACTTTCAACGACCCGCGACAGGTCTTCCGCGGCGTCTGCCGAGCTGCCCCACCCTGCCCCGCCCGCTTCTGCGCGGCGACGCGCCTGCATGGTCACCTGCAACGAGAACGACAACGCCTGGGCCGCAGCCTCTGCGCGGACCGGCCACTCCGGCATGGTGCTGTCGATGCCATCCAGGCGGGTCTCGTTCACGGCCAGCAGGCGGTCGTCCCGCTGCAGGCGCACGTGCGCCGGCAGGGACCGGTTCGTCTCGGCGACCAGGCCGCCCTCCTTCACCCCGTGAACGTACAGGCCCGAGACCTGGAAGCGCGCACGGGGTGTCTGATCCTGGCCCTCCCTGCCGCCTTGCAGATGTGTGGCCTAGGCTTGCTGTATTTGCGTTCCCTCCCAAAGCACGAGATCGCAGAGATCATCGTATCGACTTCCCTCGCATGCTGTGCCAACCCCGCCTTGCGACCATGCTTGCCTGCAACAACTGTACACGCATGGTTCACGTCGTGCGCCTGTCGGATGTCATACTGCCGCGCAGGGGGGGAGGCGACTAGTGGAAAGATGGGCACCACGCCTGCTGGGCCGAGAAGACTAGGTCGAGCCCGAGCTTCTGGCCCTCCACCAGGCGGCTGACGCTGTACTCGAACGTGCTCCTGGTAGCCCTCCGCAGGGCTGGCGCATCTCAATGAATAGAGGAACAACCAAAAAGCATGAACATTTACATAAACTGTGGAAGGTCATCGCGGATGTCTTGGGCCGGCGCTGGAATCACCCTCGCGGCGCCGGAGGCGCCGCCATGGGGGCCGAGCTTTGATCCGAGAAATCCGCGCGGGCCTCCGCAAGTATATGGTGATGCAGACTGTCCTTCGAATGCAGCTACACGCCATGCACTCTGCAACGAGCTGCGGTCACACTAGCCGAATAACCGACTGCTGTGGTGAATGCAGAGCCCACAAATTCACCGAGAAGCGCAGCCTGACTACAGATCTTTAGGACAAAAGGCCGCGGCAGGAAAAACGTGTGCTTCGGCGCCGTACACCTCTTGGGCTGAATTCTGCAATTTGGCCAGCTGCGTGCTGCCTGGCGGGAACCCTTACGCCCGTCGATCTGAGCTGCCCGCGTGTTCCAAGAAGCCATCCAAAAGGACCCCGACAGGGCACAAAGACCTGGAACCGTTCAATGTTGTTTAGTACGGCTTCTGCCGGGCACCCTTCTACCAAGAGAGGCCGCAAGAGAACGCGCGATACCCACGAGACGCACGCACAGCGGCCCCAAAGAAGCCCCCAGCGGGCCTAAGACCACCGAGGACGGCCTGAGACTCCCACGGCAGCGCAACAAATCCAATACCCATGGCAATGTGTACAATGAAAAACCCAGCCGGCCAAATCCGCATCTACAAAGCCGTGATGTTGCAAATCCAGCGCGAGGTGTGGACAGCAGCAGCAGAAGCAGGGAGAGGGAAGCAGGCGACGGCCTGAGACTGGGCCAATACTACCTTTAAACAGCCCGCCTCAAGACAACTCCCAGACGGCCGTAGACCTCTCGAAATGGATCCGAAGAACTCCAGCAGGCTCCCAAAACGAAGACGGAAAACTGTCCAACAACCAACCAACAAGCTCCTCGGAAGCCCTAGCCCTGGCGTCTCATCTTACGGTTCTCGGGCCTAGGGGAAATCAACTAATGTACGGCCTTCCCTCCACTGTGGAACCGAACTGCCATCCCACACCTTGATCACCACATCACCAGCAATACCAATAAAGACAACACACGTCCCAGAAGCGCTAGCGATAACAAAGCCCCAGCAACAGCAGCGGCCAAAGTCAGCAGGAGTTGCACCTGTACATAACAACAACGAACAACATGTTGTACATCAGCATTCGCCAACGTGGGAACGTGTAACAACCACAGCAGAATTGGCAGCACTTCGAGCAGCTGCCAGCTGCAGAGGTAACAGCATCAATTCAGGCAAGAATTGCACGCGGCAGCAAACACTGGTGGTAATGAGAAGGTGGGTTGGCATTGCCCTGGGGTCCAAGTGGCGAGGGGGGGCGAAACCGGTGTCCTGCTTCTCAAGACCACGCGGAGGGGGACTCTGGCAAGCCTGGACATTTGCAAGCCTGGAACATCTGCGGCCGTGGATGGAAACATTTCCCCCCTGAAATTGTTTGCTCAACGGCCCTGGAACTTCCCCACTGCGCGGGCCACGGAGTCCTCCCCAAGACATTCGCGTTCGCCCGCAGTCGATGTTTTATGATTCCTCAGCCTGGCAATGCCCCCCGGTGGCTGGCCACTCAAGACAAACCGCCGCCACGTGTTTCATCACAACGTCGGAGGAAGAGGATCCCCCACCCTCCACCCAAACGTGTCCCGAGTTGCTTCTAAACAGAATCTCGAGGCGCATTCAACTGTGGCGACGAGAATCCTACAAAATGTTCAAACGAGCACAGGAAGCGCCCCAACACCTGAAACCCTGGAACATCGAACCTCGGTCCTCCAATCTCGAGGTAGGGACGAGCATAACAAATACTGAAGTCACTACTTCTCGGACCTCTCCCGCGGTGCGTCTTCGTAAGCATTCCGAGGCGAAGCTGGCCGTGGCGAACGAGGGTCTTCCAGGATGCTCCCAAAACGCAAACGTGGGAAAAAGCGGGATACTTGGCAGTATGAGGGACACACCGTCTTGGAATCGGCGATGCATCGCCGATAGATCGGGCATAGGCCCAAGTCGGGCGTGTCCCCCATACAGGGGGATTTTGGGCCTGTAGAGGCACAGGCCCGACTTGAGCACAGGCCTCCGAAAGTGAACCCGCTCGCTCCTGGACAGGTCGGGGCTATCGGGCCCCCCTCGGCGATCAGTGGGCGACTGAAGGTGGACGCGTCCCCCTGTGCCCCGGACTCTGCCTCTGCAGAGGCGCCGGCACGAGCCGCTGGTCAGCGCCCACCCTGGGCCGGCCTCGGGAGCGGCCAAGAGGGGGGTGTCCAAGCTGGCCATCGCTCGGACATCCATTCCCTGTGTTTTGTTCGGTTTCGTGCGTGGCTTTTTCGCCAAGTGATCAAGAATGCTCCTCGATGGTCCTCGCCGAGGAAACACCGCACACGTCCGAGCGATGCCAAGCAAGAGGGGGGGGGCGCAAATCATGACCGGCGGCACGTGCGCGGCCCAGCGGGGGGGCCAGGGACGCAATGAAGCAAGAAGAGGCGCCATGAAATCTGGGGAGATCTCATGGCCCCCGCCATGATATCCACCCCCCCCCTAGTCATCACCCCCCTCTTTTCCGCCCCCGACAGCCACGGGGCCCCGTCGCGAGGCCGGGCTGGCGCCACGAAGCCACTCCCGTTGGGGGGTCGGCCCCGCGTGGCTTCCAGGCCCGAGCGGGGACCTGCTGGCCCCAGCTCGGGCTGACCCCCTCAGCATGGGGCGAGCGGGTCTTGAGGGGAACGGGTCCTGGACCCTGGGGCCTTTTGGGTGTCCCAAAACCGTGTGGTGACAGACCCGGCGGTGACCTCGAAATCCGCAAAGACCTCACCGCACGGTCCGTCACCACACGGTTTTGGGACCCTGGAGGCTCCAGTCGCCCGAGACATCCTCGGAGAACGACCCAAGTCCCAAAACCGCGTGGTGACCCCGAATCCCCACCGACTCACCACACGGTGTGGTCACCACCCCGTTTGGGGGCCCCCGAGCCTTCCCCTCATCCTGCATCGTTCTGGCAGTCCCGGGCTCCGTGGAGGGCCCCGAGAGCCCTGCGGGTCCCCCTTTGGGCGACCCCCGCGACAGGCTGCACACGGTCAGCTGCTTTCAGTCCGCGGGTCCGAGAGGCATCGGATCGAACCAGCTGCCAAGGGGGCGGACGTCCGCCGCGGATCCACCTCCGACTCCTCGCTTGCGGCGTCGAGAGCGGTCCCCAGAGGCCGAGATGGAAGAGAAACGTGGCGATGCGGATTCGGAACGAGAGGCCAACAACGAAGGACGACTAAGGAAATCCGCCACAACGCGTGGAATAATTGTCAAGGACTGTCGGGCAGGGTTCCTGGGTCGTGCAATGCGGCCCCACCCCGCAACACCACGAGCATTTCCCTGCACGCTGAGCGCGTAGCCCGCCCCCCCCCGCCGAGGCCACGCCCCCGCGCCCCCAAGGCCACGACCCCCCGTGGGGAACGATGGACATGCGCCGCGCAAGACGGCCCACGCAAGCAACCACGGACACCAAGATGGCCCCAAATGCCTCGAAGACTGCCCAAAATGGTCCCGAGGCGGCCCAATGTGGCCTCAGGACGGCCTAGGATGCTTCCACGAGGGACCAAACAGAGCACGAATGCGAACGTAATTCGCCGGCCCAACGGGCAGAGGCGTGCTAAGATCTCTGGACACAGGTTAACAATATTTCTAGTTCGCGCGCGCGTGGCGGCCCCGCGAAAAAGCTCCAAGAGAGCCTCAAGAGGCTCTCTGAGAGGGCCCCAACAAGCAAACATCGCCCCATTCCCTTTGGAAAACGTGCATTTTTCGCATGCGCGACGTTTCTCGTCTTTTCGGCTTTCAACGCTCCAAGACGGCCCAAGAGGCCCCCGAGACCGCCCCAAGTCGGCCCAAGAAGCCTCCAAGAGGGCCCCAACACGGCATCCCAAGAGGCGCCCATATTGGCCCAAGAGGGCCCCAAAACGGCCCCAAGAGAGGCCCAAGATCCAAGACGGGGACTGAGAACCGAAAAGTCCAGCCTTCAGCTCCAACAGGCCCCCAAAGGCCCCAAGAGGCCCAAACGGGCCCCCAAGAGGCACCCCAAGAAGCCCTAAGAGGCCCCAAAGAGGCTCCAAGAGGCCCCAGCACGGCCCCCAAGAGGTCTCAAAACTGCCTCCCAGAAACCATCAAGAGGCCCCAACACGGCCCCCACAAGCGGCGAGGCAATATGGGCCGGCGGAATGCGCGAAGCGATCCGCCGCCCCATCGGGTACGGCGTGTGAGACCCACAGCATGGTCTTCAGCAGTGCTTTGTGTAAGTCTTCTCTCCAGCGCGCTTTTCATACCTACCCCTGCCTCTGAGCCCTCGCAACCCCTCCTAGGGTCCTCCCCGCGCCTCGCCTCTTGGGCCGTCCTGGGGGCCGTTTGGGGGCCCTCTTGGGCTGTCTTGGAGCCCTCTTGGGGGCTTGTTGGGCCGTTTTGGGGCGATCTCGGAGCGTCGGCAAGCCGAAATGGCGAGAACGCGAAAATCCTTCAAAAACCGAAGAAAAATATATGTGATTGTTGTCTCTTGGGGCTCTCTTGGGGGTGCTCTTGGAAGCCTCTTGGGCCGTCTTGGAGGCGTTTTGTGCCGTTTGGAAACATTCTTGGGCGTCTTGGAGCGATCTGGAGCTGGAGGCTCTCTTGGACAAGTCTTGGGACTCTCTTGGACCGTCTTGGGGCGCTCTTGGGTCGTCCCCGGGCTGTTCCGGACCTCGGCGGCAGAGTGGGGCCCCCTCGGAGGGACTTCAGGGAGGTTTTTGACCAGGCACTGGCGAAGGGGGGCAAAGATTGTGCCAAACACTCTGTCAGAGAGGTCTCGCACGGCCCAACCCGCCAGGCGGAGTATCGTTTGGAGGGCGGTATCTGCTTTTGGAATCGTCCTGTGGCTTTCGTGGGCATATTGGGCCGCTTCTGGAGCCCTCTTAGGGCGATGTC